GTTATGTTATAATCAGTATAACTTAATAAATATTGCATGTAGTTGAGTGTAGCAGGGAAAATTTTCATCCCATTGGCAAGAAAAGCGTTGTCAACCGGGGCTTTATATAATAATACTCTCAGAATGTTTGTTAACACTAAAAGAGTGCAGAACTTCTTGCCATATAATATTGCCTTAAAATAGCTTTACATATGATTTGATGTCTGTAAGAAAATTACTTGATCAGCAATTATGGTGACACTGGCGTCGGAAGCAAATTGAAAGTGGGGGGGGGGGGCTAAGTATAATAATTTTTTTTTTTACCTTAAAAAAAAACCTACGAAAGCCCAATGAGCTCATTTTCGTAGGTAAAAAAATAAACTTTTCGCGTTTATGCGCGAAAGTTACGCGTTTATTCGCGAAAGTTTCGCGATATAACGCGAAACTTTCGCCAATAAACGCGTAACGTTCGCGATATAACCCGAACTTTCGCAATATAACGCGTAACTTTCGCGTTATAACGCGAAGCTTTGCTGTTTAACCAAACAATTGCTTAAGTCTCAACTTTCTTTGGATTTCGATATCAAGTTTATTCATTACAATAATAAGCAAAAGGCTATTTTGATCTTGGACTATCACAAAATAAATTGTAAGCTTTCTTGCCATTGAATCCATCCTTATAGTCACAATTTGTCTTTCTCGATGCTGTTTAAACAATTCAAAGTTTATGGAAGTTTTCCAGAAGTTAATCTTCAAGATTATTAATTTCGGGGAAAATCTTTTTTATGCACTCTCTAGAGAATTTGAAATAATTTTATAGAGATCAAGATTAAGATCTCAAAATGAGGTAGATTTGTCAATTGTGTCCCACCACATTTGTGAAAATTGGATAGCAGATTTTCATTTGTCTCCCCTGGATTCACTGTGGAAATACGATATCCTATTTTGAGGTTGCACCAAATACGATATCCTATTTTGAGGTTGCACCACGTTGTCATTCCATTGCTTACGAAAACATTGACGATTCAAAGTGTACAAACTCTGCTGTATACCTTCATAGTTTTTTTAGTCTACGAACTTCTCTATAACCCAATACATAAATATTGGAGAAAATTTAGAGACTCCTCCTCCTCCTCAATAAATTTGTAATAAACAATATCCAATTAAAATTGTTATTTTAACAGCATCATATGACCTGTTAAGCTCAAGTTCAAGTTCAAGTTCATTTATTTCGCTCACACCAACATCAGTGGTACATGAGGTACAATATATAAATTAGTCGTCATAATTGTAAGAAAAATAATAAATATAATTATGATACAATAGCATAAATGAGAGGCATAACATATGTGCAAAGTATAGCAATAAACATACAATGAAAAAAGAATTTAAAAAAAAAAACAAGAAAAGAGGATATGGTAACATTTAACTTATGGAGGACAGACGGTGTCGTTTATTTTAGAAATAAATATACAAAGGTTTTTTAAAATTAAAATAAAATGTAAAATTTTCTTTCTGACACTATTTAATGTTTTGCATTCTAAAATGAAATGAAATTCGTCTGCTATTTTTCCTGTTTTAGACAGTTTACAAACTCTTTCATCTAATGGAATATTTGACCTCCTACCAGTTTCAATTGGGAGGTGGTGGTTTGAGGTTCTAAATTTTATCAATTTTTTTGGAGTTTACTTGGTAAAATACTTAGATAATTTTCAAATCCAAAATCAATTTTAAAAATTTTGTAAATTTGACCTTTTGATGAGTTATTAATATCACTATGCCATTTTTGAATAAACTGGTCTCTTAATCTTTGTTTCACTGCTGCAAGTATCCAATTTCTGTTAATGGAACTTTGTTCATACCAAATGTTAGAGAACCCACAAGAGGTTAAAATTTTATAAATGAAATCTACCCATGGGTTTTTTGGACCTCCATGAAACTATTGAGAATATAGATATTTATACAAAACACAAACTATTTTGTTTTCTGAAGAATTCGGGGTAAGCAATTTTAACCAGTACGAGATCATTCTTGTAAAAATAGTAATATACAATGGGAATCGCCCAGTCTCCCCATACACCATATACGAGGGCGTGTTACTCTTTAAATGGAAAATATGTTTTAAAAATTTTAAATGTACACGTTCAATGATTTCAACGTTTTCATAACCCCAAATTTCACAGCCATAAGTCAAAATTGGAACAACAACTTTATCAAAAAGATCTAACTGACATTCAGTTGGTAAGTTAAATTGTCTTATCTTCCTTATTACACCATACATTGCTTTCTGTGCTTGTTCACATAAATGTTTTTTGGCCTTACAAAATGAGCCTGAGCGTGAAAATATTATCCCAAGATACTTAAATTCTTTTACATTTTCAATTGCATTATTATTGTAATAAAATACCTTTTTTGACATTGGTCCTTTAGAAAACACTAGAATTTTTGTCTTACTAACATTAACATTGTGTTTCCATTGTGAACAATACAAATAAAAATCATCTAGAGCCTTTTGCAAATCTACATCTGTTTCAGCCATGATAACAGTATCGTCTGCATATAACAAAATGAAAAGCTTGAGATACACATATAATTCTTCTTCAATTGCATCAGTTATACTTTGTACACCAATAATACCTCTGTCAGAGAGAAAATCTTCCAGGTCATTGATATATAATGAAAATAAAAAAGGCGATAGATTTTCACCCTGGCGAACTCCAACGTTACAATTAAAATAATCTGTGGTTGTACCATTCAAATTTATCATAGATTTAATTCCAATATACATATTTTTGATGAAGTTAAAACATTTACCACTGACTCCACTCTTAAATAGCTTTTACCACAGTCCAAATCTCCAAACCGTATCAAAAGCTTGTTTAAAGTCAATAAATGCGCAGAAAAGTTTCTTTTTTCTTTGACAAAAAAATCTGACATAAAAACTGTAAGGTAACTATATGATCTAAAGTTGAGTACCTTTTTCTAAATCCTGTTTGACTCTCATTAATTAGATTTACTTCTTCAGCAAATGTTTCTAATCGTGTGCATAAAATACTTGTAAATAATTTTCCTAAACAGCTCAATAATGTTATGGGTCGATAATTTTCTGGTAGTGTTGGGTCACCTTTATTTTTGTATATAGGTTTAACAATGCCAATCAACCATTCATCCGGTACGGTACCTGAGTCAAATATTAAATTGAACAATTTTCTGTAAACGGGTAGAAATATAGTAATTGTTGAAGTTATATGTTCATTAAACAATTTGTCAAAACCACATGCTTTGTTATTTTTAAGCTTTTTGACACTTTTCAGTATTTCTTCATCACTGATAGCACAATTCAGGATATCAACTGAGAAATCATTTGAAAAATTTCTTACATCTTCCTGTTCATATAAGTTATTAGGTGCAACATTGCAATTATTATCTTCATTCATATCTTTCAAAAAATTATACATGTCATTTATATCGACAGCACATTTCTTATTTTTATCAGATTCTCATGAGATTATACATTGTTCATTTACTTTTACGTTAAGTTTCTACAGTGTATAATTTTTTTGTCCAAAGTGATTGATTGCTTAATTTACTAGTGGTGCAGTTGTAGTAAATGTTACCGATTAAAAAAAGCTTGAAAAAAAGTGTCAAGTGGAGATTTTCCTTAAAATAAAATCAGTCTAAAGAATTAAATTAAACTTGAACAATTGAAAAACATGTACAAGAAAGTTAAACTTAATTCAATGGTAAGGTATTAAAAAAAATATTCTGATGACTAATCTATCCTATTCTCGCATCATTTCTCCAGTACATTTTCTGAGGAAATGATGTTTGTGATTAAGTTCCTAAGTGTCAGTAAAGATCAATGTTCCTGAGTAATTTTACTATATGCATATTACGCGAAAGTTACGCTTTATATTGCGAAAGTTACGCGTTAATTCGCGAAAGTTTTGCGTTATATCGCGAAAGTTTCGCGTTATAACGCGAAAGTTACGCGTTATATCGCGAAAGTTTCGCGTTATAACGCGAAAGTTACACGTTAGTTCGCGAAAGGTTTGCATTATATAGCGAAAGTTTCGCATTATAACGCAAAAAATTTATTTTCTTTTTTAGCTACGAAAATGAGCTAATTGGGCTTTCGTAAAAACCTGACAAGCCAAAAAAATAAAAAAAGGAAACGTCAATTTTCCAAAGGCGAAAATCCTATTTCGTGGGGGGGGGGGGGGGGGGGGGGAGAAAGAGAGAGAGAGTAGGTTTGAACTTAAGTACCTTTAGTTAATTTTTTTTCCAAACTCCAAAACTTTACCCATTTTTAACCTATACTGCGAGGTGTCTGTGGAAAGTGGGGGGGGGGGCTAAATCTACGATGCAAGGTTCAATGTCTATACTAGGTATACATTTGGGAAAAAAAAGTGGGGGGGGGGCTAAGCCCCCCACCCCACCCCACCCCGGTTCCGACGCCTAAGGGTGAATTTTAATTAAAAACTTATTTTCGCTTTCAATAATTTACCCCAACTCGTAATATCAAAAATGAAAGTAAGGTCGTTGACACCCTTTCGTCGATAATCTATTTTACTTAAAGACAAGTTTAATCCTTAAATAGTGAGTACAATATATATTCATAGATTATTGATTAATTATGAAAGAAAAAATATTTAAATTTTATAATATATTTCATTCAACGCCTATATACACAACTACATGTAATCTTATTTTTTCACCGTTTTTTCTATGAGTATTCTTAATTTTACTAGATTTTGTAACAATGTATAAAATCATTTATTTCATTTAATTCTTCACAGAAAATCTCGCCTTTTTTACTGTAAAACACAATCGCAGTGAATGTAATTATAATGCTTGTAAAAAAAAAATTGAATTGACAAAATATTTTTTTCTATATCGCCAAGGATTCCTATAAATTCGGCATAGATATAATAAATTTATGTGAGCTATCTTATTTACTACTGCTAGGTTAACAGACAGGGACGTCAAATTTCTGTGATGCTTCTTGTCAACAAAGATTCTATCATATGTTAGCAGAACACGTAAACTGCACACTATATGCACTGTGCACGTAATTGTGATCAGCCACTGATTTGCAATGGATTTTGATGATGTGTTGAAGAAAATAGGAGAGTTTGGTCCCTATCAAAAGCGAACGTTAGCATTATTAAGCGTAACATGGATTATTATCAGCCCCATTATGATTTATTCTGTATTCGGGATCGCCACGCCAGATCACAGGTTCGATCTATTTCTAATTATTTTTCAAGAAAAGCTTAACCGGGTAGAAGTAAAGACATATTATATTATGCATGCCCTAGAGCTCATAAAATAATGTAAATCGTGCTCTACTAGGCGCTTTGATTTCAAAATGACAATTATTTTTTAAACAAACTAAATAATTTGCTTCTTTTACCAGCCTAAACTGTTTTATTAAGTTCACTTCAAAGCGAAACGTCTTCAGACAATGTTCCAGTGACTCAAACGCAAAACGAATCATAATATAATATTCAATTTACAACCATCACATTTTCACCGCGGATGACATCGGTTGTGGCAGGTCGGCAAGGGATGTTCATTCCGCCGTGGCACCTGATCCCACATCTCGCGTGTAAGAAGTCAATGTACCCCTTCTAATTAGTATTGATTGGATTTAAGTTTGAACACTGTTCATTATCTGTATATATATTTCACCATATCTGTCGTTCACTGATTTTTATTAGAAAATTTAAATAAGTGTAGATGTTGCGCACGGTGTTGGTAATATTATATCTAACTCTTTATGTCGCTAAGGAGTAGGCGGCTTCACGATGTCCTTTTAACTTTAAATAAAAAATGAAATTATTTATGTTATCCTAAGTAATAAATAATTCTTGAACTTTAAATAAAAAATGAAATTATTTATGTTATCCAAAGTAATAAATAATTCTTGAATATCTCTTTTAAACAGTTTAGAAATATTTTTACTATGATGAGAAGTTATTCATAATTGGTCTTTTACAGCGAAATTCCCGTGTCCGACGTTACATCAATTATTGTTCGCGCAACTACAAGGTATAAAAGTATGCACTTAAAGTTCTTGAAATAAAATAAAATTTAGGGGATACAATAAAATATATGCATTCTTTAAGATATAGTTGAGTTTTTAACATCATTTTATCAATTTCATGAATTTGGATCGAATCTACAGTGCGTAAGTAAAATGTCTACCAGAAAAAAATCGTTAATTTACATTGACATTAGGCGAAATGGCAATGTGTACCAGACATTAATTCCAGACAAATATAAATTTTGGTGAATAATCTTTGAGTACATATATATCTAAGATTAATTGAATTGATACATTTTATAAAACTTTTCCAACACAAATATTAGGAAGGATTTCCTAAGTGTAGCCATTTCGTTATGCACGCACGAGTCACTGTATTATGGCATTGTTACTTAATATGTTACATACAAAAAAATATATAAATGTAAATAAATCAATGTAAGATTTACAGCAATCATTGCTGTAGCTTGAAAGAACATTTAATGCTGTGTTAATTAATTACATAATTTCTACAGTAATGGTCGACATGAAATAATTGCAAGCACCAATTAAAGTGTAGCCATTTTGTCACAAGTACGAAAAACGTCATGCAATGTCGTGCACAAGCGTTTAATGTCAGAAAGATATATATTTACAGGTAGGAAATATAAGATATTTTAAAAACAGATCACCATTTCAGTCTTTAGTTGCTTCATAAAAGGAACAATTAATTGGTTTGCGGCCGTTTTTTGACGCTTGTGTCAATATATGTTTCTTTTTTTGATGTAACGTCAATATGTACGAACAACGTGCGCAACATTTACATTATTTTAAATCATGTACTAATGTTTAACTTCGTAAAAGACATATCAATAAAATGGACTACATTGGGAAGAAAACTCTTTAAAATTGCGTCAGTCTACAGTATTTTTTATAGTCACTGAATATTTTCTCCTTTACATATTACAAGTATGAAAACCATTTTCTTTAATAAAATCATCAACTCTAAAATAGTTTGAACCGGTAGTTTAAGGTTATTTCTTAAGTATCATATGGGGTTTCAACTCCGAGGCGGTGATTTCAAGCATTTCGAAAATTCATTTTTTGAAATTCTTTGCTTATGAATTCTTTGAAACAAAATGACATGCACACGGTTGTAAGAATGTAGTACCTTCCAATTAAGAGCAATAGGCTGTTTGAAAGCGTTAGGGACCCGTTTCATCAAAGGTCGTACGCCCAGTTGTAGCGCTACGCCGGTGTGATGTCGGGACGAAAATTTGCATTTCATTAAAGAGCGTATCGTTACGCCTGACTTAAGTTAGGCCAAAATTTTACGTCTACTCATGGGTAGGCGTAAGTTTGGGTGTTAAGTTAAAATAAAACATTTTACATTTTATTTTAAAACAAATTAGCGAGTTCTAAAGCACGGTCCTATATATAAATATATATAATCATCAAAATGTCCGTCTGTCTGTTACGCTTTGGCGTACCCATCTCTAACTGCAACTCATACGACAGAATGAAACTTGATGAGACTTTTACAGAATCTTTATTACATAATACCATCGTGCCTTATTGTACTTTTTGATCCGACGCATGCATATTTTGGGTTTCCCATAGCAAAACATTGACACTGCCATTATAATCATATGGGAGGCGGGGGTACTGAGTATCTTTCAGTGAGCTCATTGCTTACGGAGCCTGTACATGTAGTTATATTTTAATTCTGTTTCATTCATTAAAATGAGATCCATTTAATTTGTCTATTTTGAAATAAAATATTCCCCAAAAATATATTTTTTAAAAAAAAATCGATTTCAAGGCACAGTAATCCTCTTTTTAGTAATTTTCTACATTTAAGTAAAAATATTAAAAAAAATTATCTTAAAACCAAATATTTTTTAATCATGTTTGAAGAGTCTATTTCTTATTTACTCCTCGTCCGCATGCGTGGATCTAGAGGGGGGGGGGGGGGGGGGAGAGGTTCCAGAACCTCCTGATTTGTAGATTAAATATTACTGAATGTACAGATTACTCAGTTATAATTATATTTCTAGGTATCTTGGACAGGTGAAGTTCCCGGCGAATCTAAGACGGGACCAAGGGCGAGGGTCTAATAAACAATAAGAGTTTTTTTTTAAATGGTGAAATATATTATTATACTTTTGTAATATCGATGTAAGACGATGATAATATCAATGTAAGACGGTGATGATACACAGTTAAGTTCAAGAAATGAATTATATTGCTAAAAATATTTTTTCTCAGACAAACGTTGATGCAGAAGACATCTTTAATTTTCATGATTTTGGCTAAAAAAGTAAATTTTACAATACATAGAATAAGATAATGTGAGCGCATATAAAGCACATATCAGATGAAAATATATGTTTTAGATTTCCCGCATAACTGAGATTTTCAATGAAATCAAAATAAAGAGTCCGACTCTCTCTCTCTCTCTCTCTCTCTCTCTCTCTCTCTCTCTGCGTACGTTAAAACGGTACTTTACATTTAACCTGCAGATAGTTAAGAGTGTTTTTTTTCTATAACTGCATGTACCTAGAGTCTAGTATTTCAAAATTATATTTTGAACCTTAGTTCCATTTTAATAACAATCAAAAATATTATCTGACTCATCTGAATTAAAAAAAGATTAATAGACTTAGAGAGGATTGTCTTACATGCACCTTAGAAGTAGCAAACGTGTTAAATTTATTTCTTGACTCAAAATGTATACATATGTAAACTGTTTGCATTTTTATACATTTATTTTTGCCTGCATATGCATTTATTATGAAAAAAAAGTTTTTAGATTTTATTCTGTCACAAACTTAATTATTAGTATTTATCAGTAGAATCAGTATTTATCGAATCATGAAACTTGTTATCAAAGGTGAAGTCATTAACCTGTATCTATTTCTGGTAGAGTGAGTAAGGTGGGGGGTGTAATTAAAATTCCAAAATAAATAGTTTCCTCTTCTAAATTTATAAGCATTTTTATCATTGAAATGTTGGGAAAAAACTAGAATGGAACAGATACATTTCTCCTACATGACCCTATAAATCCATGCATGTTTCAATCAGTGCAGGTATTCATTTATCTATAATTTGTGTTATCCTGTACTTTGGGCAATGTTAATGTTTTTGCGCCTGCGCAATGCTACGTTGTCAAGGACTTAGTCCTGCGACTAAGCGTATCGTTTGCGACTAGACTTAGGCCACTTGGTGAAACACAAATTACGACAGACTAAAGTTTGGCGTAAGCCTCGGAAGTACGCCTAAGTTAAGGCTTAAATTTACGACTTTTGATGAAACGGGCCCCTGGACAATTCAGTCGACTGGAAAAAGTTGTGTCGCTGACATTCTTTGCTCATTAGTTTTCAAAAACGGGCGTGTGCAGCTCATTTTAAGGACGATTGATATAAACCAATCCATGCAAACTTTTTTTCTCCTTTCTGTAAGAAATAAAAACTTTTGGTGGTCAAATTCTATTTTGCCTAAAGGAGTTTCAAAGTTTGTTACCAAAAGGGATTTCAAGGGTTAGGGTTTTTCTATGTTTAAATCTTTGTTTCTTTCAAAAATATGGATTTCGTCCATACACCAAGAAGAAGATGTGAATGGCAAAAGTGTTAGGCAAAAGGTTTGTTTGTCAACTAGATGAACAGATGTGAAATCTCACTCAAGAGGAAGGTTGCGTCTCCTACACAAGGATTTCCCTGTAGGAAATATGGGAAGGAATTCTCACGTACCATTGTGGTGGGCATTTCTTCAAAGCATATTTTTTTCTTTTGAAAATCTTCATTGAAATTCCCACATTTTGTTGCAGTATCTTTAGAATGGTACCTTAGATTTGATAGCAACCGATAGAGATTAAATTAAGCATTCGTGTCTGTATATTTACATTCAGTGTAATTTTCTTAATGAGATCCATTGGAATTTCATAAGTATTCAATATGCAATAAAACACATCAAACTTTGTCACTGCGAGCTAGAATACCTAGAAGGAATTATATGCATTTTCAATACTCTTAGAACACTAAAATGTGCATTGTTTTGACTCAATTTAATAGATTCAATGGGCCTGTTAATTTATCGTAAAAATAAAATATTTTTACGCCCTCCCTTTCGCATACCTCTCTGTACGTCTTTTAAGCACAACGGGTCTTAAAGGTGCTATATTCAGTAGAAATAATAATGAAATTTACGATTATAATGAAAGCAAATTAGAGATTGTTAATATAACACATTGGATTTTTATTTTTGGATGTCGAACTTCTTATAACGTGTCAGATCACTTGTTATCATACTGCTATAACGCGCGGTATTTAAATAGTTGGCACTGTCTGGCACTGTTTTACGACAACAAAATCAAAATATAAGAATTTAAATGCTTATAAAAGTCTTTGCACACTGGTGAAAAATCTTTTGCCTTCCATATGGCCATTTACATTTTATTCGTGATGAATGAGCCAGGAATCCATATCCAAAGATTAAAATATAGAAAAAAGTCTTTAATTTGACCTCGAAAAGGGGGGTTGTTTTTCAGTGAAGAATTTCAATAGTTAAATGTATTGCTTGGAGGAAGTCCCCTCCAATGCTACGTGCAAATCCCTTTCCACATTTACTACAGGGAAATCTTTTTCGCAAAAGAGACGACGCAACCTGCCTCTTGAGTGAGCTTTCATACGTGGTCTGTTCAATAGTTGACAAACAAGCTTTTTGCCTAACATATGACCATTCACTTTTTCTTCGTGGTGGATGGACGAAATCTATATTCTCGAAAGAAAACAAAGATTTAAACACTGAAAAGCCTTTGACTTGAAACCCCCGTTCGTAACAAACCTTGAAACCCGTTAGGCACAATAGAATTTGAACACAAAAGTCTATATTTCTTACAGTAATTCAGGTTTTTATAAGAAAACAGTTTGTATGGATTGTTCTTATATCAGCCCTCATCCTTAAAATGAGCTTCAAACGTCCTATTTTTGTAAATAATAGAGCCAAGAATGTCAGCGACACCACAACTTTTTCCAGCCGACTGATTTGTCCTGAAGTGTTAGCACAATCCGTAAGGCTTTCAAACAGCCTGTTGCACTAAACTGCAGGCGGGTAATACATTCTTACAACCCGTGCACATGTCATTAATCCCAAAGAATTCATAAGCAAAGAAATTTACAAATATATTCTTCAAATGCTTTTAATCACCGCTTAGGAGTTGAAACCCTACATGACACTTGACCAAAACCACATATACCCATTTACATGTACATGGTGAACTCCGAAAATGATAAAAATCATTTCTACTGAATCCAATATTTTACGTTTTAAAATGGCTTTATATAGACGTTCTTATGAGATCTCTTCAAATTGATATCTCGGGAAAGAACTAAGGACGTAGATGAACAGTCTAGGCTGAGTTCAAGATTTAAGCACTAGTCGTTTTGTTGGGCTAGATATTTCTGTATACTGTATCAATTAATGCCTGTTATCCTTCGTATTGGATGTGCTCGTTGAGCTTATAGTGGGGGCTACGGTTTTGAACGTCGTTCTTTTCTTCTTTTACGGCAAAATAACTTTAATATTGTAAATAAAAGATTCCTGCTTTTTCGTTAAATTAATTGCTGTGGGAACATATTTGTTATTGATTTGTTTACAGGTGTGGAATTCCTGGTTATGATAATGATACCTACAACGTCCAAAACAGTCAACACCAGGAATTAATACAGAAATACATTCCTATTGGCCCAGATGGATTTTACGATAAATGTCACACGTTTCGATTCAACCAATCGACACCTTTCTTTTTTAATGTCAGTAGAACGTTGGAGGAATGTTCTTCGTGGGTATTTGACAAATCTCTCTTTGACGAAACCATTGCCACAAAGGTATACACTTATGTACGAGATTGGTCCAAAGGTATTGTAACTCCAACTTTAAATAACGATACTCTTTTTTCTTTTCGCCTAATGGAATGAATACAGAAAATAACGGTGTCCTATTTCAAATCTTAAATTTATTAAGAACCTATGAACAAGAGAACAAGCAAAATTTAGAAACAGAGTAATTAAGATCTGACAGATTTTTGGTTGAACCTATGATAAATGGGAAAAAAACTTTCGTCACAAAGACGTTGGTAAAGTTTTTAAAGCTTCTAAAAAGTGATGATGTTTAAAAAAACTTTAAAAATTCTTAAATTATGCAAGATTTTCTTAATATGATATATTCAAAATGTATTCAGAATTTCTAAAAAAGAAAAAACATTTCAAATTTCAGATGAATCTTGTCTGCAAAGAGAAGTATAAAGTTTCTCTGAGTAAAACTGTCTTCTTTGGAGGAGTTCTAATAGGATCTTTTTTGTTTGGGATGCTTTCGGATATGTAAGTTAAATGTATATTGAATTTGTGTTTGTTATTTCATTCATTCATTGTGAACAATTTATATCATAAACAAAAACGGCCAAAATGAGAAGAATTTATTCTATCGAATGTAGTATTGCAATTGGAACACGTTCGGCGAAAGCGAAAAGAGTTAAAATTAAAATTTGGCTAACATTTTCCTGCATTCAGTAGGTTCATCATATTCTCTTCCTCATTTGATATCCTATTACAGGTTCGGACGTCGATTTACCCTTTTGATCGGACTTTTAATTGTGTTCGCTTCAATTATGGCGATTGCATGGGCAGACAATTTTACAACCTTCGTCATATTGTATATGTGCGCTGGAGCTGGTGTCGTGGGTATATTTATGACGTCATATGTCCTTGGTAAGATATACAAGTTTGATAATTTACTTATACTCTCCAGTATTATTTAAAAATGAACTCAAACTGGGAAACTACGAAGTTCCTCTTTATAATTTGTTATATTATAGTTGTGTGTCTAAATTAAAGGAACTTGGACACAGATTTGAAGTCAATATATTCTTTATAATATTACGACTTACATATTATGATAGCATTTCGCATAAAAATCAAAAACAAAATATTATTTCATTTAAAAGTTATTAAAACTTCAATTTTTTTGGCGGGTTTGATTGACACGTCCTTGCACTTTCACAAATTTCAACCTTATTCTTAATCCTTGAAAAAAGTTGCAATCTTGTTGTGAGAAATATTAAAACGTTTATACAGAAAAATAATTTTATTCAGAGTAGAAATGTTGAAAAGCAAAACTCCTTCAAACGTATCGTCATTCCTAACCAAATGTTGCGTACAGAGTTTAGCAAATCGAGCACAGTTGTATCATGTACACAGTTTTTGTAAACAGGGCACGAGTTCTGTTATTATTGATGTTTACAATTCACCAGGTGCTTTAAATCGTCACAGACTACTTACCAAAACCACACGGACTGACAACATATATTGTGTGTTTGTTTTGCTTTCAAACATATCTACTCTGAATTTTCTGGATTTTTCATTTATACACAACGAGATTGCCACTTTTCCTTAGGATTAATAATAGAATTTATTTGTAAAAGAGCAAGGATGTGTCAATCAAACCCGCCAAAAATTTGAAATTTTAATATCTTTTATATGAAATAAGATTTTTGATTAATTTTTGTGTAAAATGCTAAATTAAAATAATATATATAAGTCGTCATATTATATAGAAAAAATAACGTCAAAATGTCTAAGTACCTATTAACTACATTTACGACTCATCAGTTGCTGTACTAAAGAACTAAAAAAAGAGCTAATAAAGTAGCTCAATTTCTTAACGTTCGTTTAATTTCCAGCTGCAGAACTGCAGCTTGCGAGGTGAGAAAACATAGACAGATAATCCAAAGATCAACAGATATAAGCATTGTTAAAAGCATAAACAATATCAATACAATAAGAGTTAAACAGCCGGTCTTTTATCATGACAGCCACGCCCCCTGAACCTTTCGGTGCTTTAATATGAGTGTGAGTGCGGTTAAACCCCATCCATTTAAACCCATGCTCTATTAAGTCTATACCACCTTCATTAACTAAATGTGTTTCGTTCAACCAAACAATATCACAATTAATATACTTTATAGTGAAGAAATAATAGAAGAACAGTAGGGTCTTCCGAAGCAAAAGCTCGGAAGACCCTAAAAAGAATAAAAATCTTTACCAACAGAATCAGTAGGTCTTCCGTTGGAAACAGAAGACCTTGAGATTTTTATAGCTGCCGAACTATATTCATGTAAAGCAGAAAAAAAACATCTGAAGCATTCGCAATAAGTTCATGTAGAAGGTTTTTAAATTGCTTACATGTGAATCCCTTTTGGGTTTTTTTTATTCGAGTTTTGCATTCCAGATTCTAACAGTTCTGCAGTAAGGTCCCTTTAGTGGTGTGGGTCAATAATTTGCTTTTATTGTATTTTGCAGGTATAGAGTGGGTTGGTCCATCTAAGAGAATGCTTGCTGGATGTGTTGTTCCCATAACTGGGCCGCTAGGAATGCTTTATCTTATTCTAATATCATATCTAACACGTTCCTGGCATTGGATGGCTATTTCCTGCGCTATTCTGCTTGGTTTATACATTATACTTTGGTGGTAAGAATTTGATCATTAAGTATTTTTTTTTCAGTAGAACTTTGTTAAGCCGAAGACCGATACCGGTAATTCGGACTTTTTATTTTCAGGGAAAAAATCTTAGGGAACAGTTCATATTTAGTTGAGCAAAATCTGTTTCGTTATTCCAAAGGCTTTAGTATTCCTATTCGGAAGAATTTGCTAGGGAATAAAAGAAATCGGAGAAATGGGACTCAATTGTTGATCAAAAGCATAAAGAACTAATAATCTAAATATTTCATCTCGACTCTCTTTATTTTGTATATTATGAAGCTCATCATATGTCACAATGTCAAATCAGATAAATAGAATGAGTTGTCTGCATTTTTCAAATCGAAATGAAATAAGCAGTTTTAGCTGGAAAGAATTAAAAAGCATATTTTTTCATTGAAAATCATAAAGGTAGAAAACAAACCTCATAAGAGCATGCAAAGACATACATTTTACTGAAGGTTTATTCCCGAGTCTCCGCGATGACTGTGTGGAAAAAACCGGAAACAAGACGCCGCCATTTTGTTGAAGAGAGCAGCCGAATGGAACCACGCAGACTTTTCTTCAGAGATACTGGACAAAATTGTCGCCAAGGAGACGGAGGCAGCCAAAGTGTGGCTGTTGTTCTCTGACAGGACGCTCGGAATAAGGACAGTATTATATTTTACAATTGGTAGGTACTGAGTATTAGTACGACAATATTAATTAGCTCAATTGATATCCATGGGATATTGTATAATTTACATAATTAGGATAATTCTCATTTAACAATTATAACATGTAAAAATGAAGTTTGCATCATACTGTTTAATATTATTTTAATAAAGTAAATAGTGTCAGAATATATATCACACGAATACTTTACTTAAGTACTTGTATATCATTTTTGAATATACCACTGGTATTTATCAATATAACATACCTCCTTGTTAAGTTAGAAAAACAACAAAGTAAATGTTAAACTTTGTGCAGAGTTTAAGTTGGAATAAGTTCATTTTTTTAATTTCTGCAGGTTGGCAGTTTGCATGGTGTATTATGGACTGAACCTGAACACCGCTATGCTCTATGGGAACTTCTACATAAATTTTCTTATATTTGTGATGTTAGAGGTAGTTGGGAACGCAACCCTATGGCTAACCATCAACAGATTTGGTAGAAAGAGAAGCTACATATTCTACACGACTGTCGGTGGACTATCTTGCTTGAGTACAATATTCACAGTTAACTATTTGCGAAAGGGTAAGATCAGTTCTAAAACACGGCTCTTGATATATATTGTGATGACAATATTTTTTTATTTTTCTTTTTAATTTTTTATGGAAGATTTATTAAAATTGAAATGTGAACCATATTCTGTATAAAAGTAGAATTATTTGTTCGGTGTGAAAAGGAAGCAAATTGTTTTTCTTTCTTGAAAAAAAAATGAAATTCCAGACTTACAGATAGTAACCACCATTCTTGCTATGGTTGGGATGCTCTTCAACACAGCTGGATTCACTACGCTCTACTTTTTCTCCGCGGAGATATTTCCGACTCTTGTCCGTAACGTCGGCATGGGAACAAGTTCTAGTTTGGCCCGTGTAGGTGCAATGATTTTTCCATTCATAGCAGACACGGTAATACTTTGCATGTTATTGCACAAAAAATGTGACATTTTTCTAAAGCGATGAGAATTGTAAAAAAAAAATCTACATTTAAATACAAATTGTATTGCTTAGCTTGAAATTGTTAGTAATTGTGTTAAAAATTGATAATACTATATATAGGGGGAAAATAAGAATGAAAAACAAAAAGTACTGTAGAATCACAAATTTTCGAGGGTCCAAATTTCTTTGGTTTGAATAAAATATATTGGTTCATGTAGATTTTATTTTCGTGGTTTATCAGTAGTAGTATATTTGAAAAAATTGCCATTGGTTATGGACAAAATTTTCTGAGTCTTATGAAAACCGCAAAAAGAACCCCCCACGAAAATAAGGGTTTCACCGTATATATCAAAACGAAAATTCCTCAATTTGCCTATAATTGCATCAAAATGATATCGTGACTAAAATACGAAATTGAAAAAGTAAATTTAATACGCATGTGCAAAAACTAAATGACGATTTATAATGCAATGCAGCGCCACCTGGTACCTGGCTCCACTGGTGTCGCTATACCATTGGTCATCTTTGGCGGAGCCTGCCTTATTGGTGCCGGACTTAGCTTATTTCTCCCCGAAACTGGAAGCAAAATGTTGCCGGAAACCATTGAAGACGGGAGGAATTTCACCTTGTACGGTCAAATAATTCACTATTTTAGCCCTTACAAAGAAATTAATTCAAAATTTGAATGATTTGTTTTTAAAAATGATTAATTTCATTTTCTTCAGGAAAGCCTTACAGGACAAGAAAGGAAAAATACAGAAGAATGAAGAAAATGCAACAATTTCAGGATCAGAAAATTTTATTTAGAGTCGGATTTTACAAAATAAACATACGCTCTGTAGAGCTTTAGACCGACATGATATTAGTACTACAAATGCATAGATACATAAATGACTATATACACATATAAAACAGTTGATTAACATGGTCAAGCATCAAAACAAACATATTTACACATACAAAACAATACAGAAAAGCACATAAATCATGCAAATAAATAAGACAAACACAGAAAATAGATATATAATGAATAGGTCAAAATAGCATTGATGCTCTAAAAGAATAATCTATGATTTTTACATTTTTGATAAAAATATAGCAAATTTGTTAAGTTAAAAGTATATGATTGTGTAATACTACATGTATACATTTATGGTAACTAAGTTTACCCACATGTAGCCAAGTGCATAATTGTAGTCCCCCTTCGTACTTTCCGGCTTTTTGTATCTTTACCATGACCTTTTATTGTTTTATCATTAAACTTGATGACGTAACACTGAATGAGTACTGTTACCGATAGATGCCATGTGTTTACTTTGAAGATGTAAAAGCTACTTTGAGCCACTTGGGCGACTCCACTGGTGTGTTCTTATATTTAAATGTGTATTTTCATATTATTTTATCTAAGTATAATCGTTAAAAACATCTGTAATCCTCTTGAATGATGTTATGTATGCACTGATCACAATTGTGTATTCCCGCCATTTCGGAAGCTTCTCCATTCAGTCGCTGGATGTTTATCTGTAGGAATACTTTTATTTAGTAGTACTGATACAATTATAGAGTTGTTTTATTTATTATATAATACTGTGAAATGAGTTTTGATCACATTATTGAATTTATCTTGTCTGTTATAAACCTGGATAGGTATTCCGGAAACTGCGTTTCCCTTCATACTGAAGTCTCGGTCTAGGTTCTGTAATTATGTCGCGAATAGTGTTTACTTTTACCATTGTTTACATGCCGATTTTGGAGATGAAAGGCGAAATTCGTAGTTATGATGATTTCATGCTTGAATTTGACATGATGGTACTATTTTCTTTATTAAATACTCAGATACAGTTACTGCATGATTATGCATTCTAGTCATACATGTTTGTATGTTAGGCTACAAAGTTAGGAAGGTTGTGAAAAGGTGATTATAAGTATCCTTGTCGGGTTGTTAAGGTCATTGGCAACGAAGGGTTTCCGGAGAAAAAAGGTTTATACCCAGGTTTCTTTACTTATGAAAAAAAGTCATTGAGAGTGATCTCCCGTATTGAATTCTCCAGGCGCAGAAAACAAAGAAAGCATATGTAACAGACTGAGAGGTAAACAAAAGCACATGTGTTTTTTTATCAGATATATTCAACTCTACAGTAATAAAAGAAAAGTAGAGATGGGTTTGTTTACATTGTGT